ATGCAATTTGAGTAACAAAACAACAGTAGATTACAAGGTCTATTACTGATGTAGCAGAGTATCAAAGTGTGTGCACTTTTCTTGCCTGTCAATATCAAGTAGTCCTTGGAGAAGTTGACATAGCTGTATGTGAAGAAAATAGTACGGTTGCACGAGGTTCCTTCTAGTATTATTTCAGATAGGGATCCAAGCTTCACTTCTAGATTTTTGGCAGAGTCTACACCAAGCCTTAGGTACGAGGTTGAGATTGGGTTCTGCTTATCATCCACATCAGATGGTCAGTTAGAGAGGACAATTCAGTCCTTGGAGGTTTTGCTGAGGGCTTGTGAGCTAGACCACTTGGAGAGTTGGAAGGAAGTCCTACTACTGGTGGAGTTCATGTACAATAATAGCTTTCATGCTAGTATTGGGATTTGAAGCATTGCATGGTAGGAAGTGTAGGACTCCTCTGTGTTGGTATCAAAGATGGTGAGTCAATAGTTGTGGGGCTAGAGTTAGTTGTATAAACTATTGAGGAGGTGAAGTTGATTCAAGAGAGGATGAGGTTTTCCTAGAGTAGGTAGAAATCATAAGTTGATAGAAGGCAGAGGCCTTTGGAGTTTTCTAGGGGGGCATGTGTTTCATGTTTTCCCAATCAAGGAAGTACATTCATGATCCAAGTCATGTTGTAGAAATGAATGAAGTTTAGGTTAGGGAGGACCTAACTTATGAGAAGACGCTTGTAGTTGTAGTTGATTATAAGTTGAAAAGGTTGAGAGGCAAGTCTATTGGCTTGGTGAAGATCTTATGGGATGCAACTACTGGTGAGACTACTTGGGAGATTGAGCAACTGTGTAGAGAGTAGTATCTTTTCCTACTTCCAAGTAAATCTATTTTCGGGGACGAAAATGCTTATTTGTTGGGGGGTATTGTAACGTAGTAGGTATTTTAGAAGGTCATGGGTGATTTATGAGCTTTATTCCTGACCCGGACAATTTTAGGGGTCTACAGGAAAGAATGAAGGAAGTCAAGCACAAAGTGGTGAATTCGAACCTTATTTCACTGGAACAAAAATTTAACCCTCAAGCTGAGCGTGGAATTGGGGCTGAAAGTGGGAGTCCCAGAATCTTATTTCACTCTAGACTCATCCTCAAGCTTAGCGTGGCATCTCACGCTTAGCGTGATTTGTGCTGACATGTCATTATTCACATAAGACAAAAGCTTTTATGACCTAAAAGTGGGATTTTCGAGGAAGGAAGTAAGGAGAATCATTCTTGGAGTTTGTGTGGCGGCTGGAGAGCCCTAGAACCTTCAAGATAAATTTTCTTCCTTTCTTCATCATTTTTAAAGTTCTACATCTCTATGTGTAGCTAACTTCACCCTTGTTGGGGTTTAATGTAACTAAACCAATTCTCATGTGTAAACTCTAAGTGATCAATGTTAGTTGTTATTCAGTTTTATTGCTTTGTTTCTATAAATAATGTTTATTATGACTTGATCACCCTTAACTTAAACTTGAGGGTTTTAAAAGATTGAGAAATGATTTTAAACCTTTGAAATAAAATAGAGCAACGAATGGTGCTTATTGCTAGAGATAGAGTAAATACTATTAGTCTTTCTTAAGCTTTAGTTTTTAAAGTTGGTTTCTTGGTTAAACTATGCAAGAGATTGATAGTTTAAGCTAGAAACTTAGATGCCAACTTGTAAGAGATTAGGGTTGGTTATTTTTTAGAGTGATTGATAAAATTCTGAATGATAACGATTGTGAGCTTAGTGATAAACATGAGAGGAAGGTTTAGTGAAGTCAAACCCCAACATTTATTAATATTGCTTTAGAATCAAGTTTTGCACTCTAAGTGTTTACAAAATACCAAAAAGAATTTTTATTGCTTATTTACAGTATCTACTGCAGCAAATCAAACTCTTATTGCTTTTTGGTGTCGCCACCCGCCGAAACGGACCTTGGCATTCGCGATGATGGTTGGACTCTTTTTAAGTTTTGAAAAATGATTGATTGTTAGAACGACTTATTCTCAAACTGAGACCTCATCGAACTAACAATTTTATTAAATGGGTCACCAATCCATGTTAATCTATGTTAATCCCAAACGGGACCCTCCATAGATTAGCGGTTTTCGTAAAAAGAAGGGTTCTTGGAGTCGCCACCAATGTTTTACTCAAAACATTGGAAAAAGATAAAAGGCAATTGATTTTCGTAAATCAACTTTGGCCATTACAACCAGAGTCGGGTAAGGGAGTCGGTTACGTGCGAGGAAGGTGTTAGCACCCCACAACGCCCCTTTCGAGTTCCCTATGACGGATTATTTCTTAAATAACAGTGTAAAATTACTAAATTACCCCTATTTGTTAGAAACGATTATTAACGAGATATCTACATGATGATAATATGCAATGCAACAATCAGAAAGCAGTAAAAGAAAGGATTTTGGAAAAGAAACCTTTGAAGCGTGCTTTTATATATTCCAACGAAATCTAGGAGGCTTTTTGGCGCTCCCTCCCACTACACGCTCGCTCGCTCCTTCCTAAAAAATAATTTTTTACTAGGAAATCCAAGAGATTTCCCTTCGACTGGGTTCGAGACTCAAGCAAATGGCTCGTGACTCAAGAACTTCGTCGGATCGGCTCTCAGAGCGATTTCTAGGGCAGAACACTGCTCAAAAACCCCAGAATACTCAAGAAGAGAGTCCAAGAAGTGTGGAAAAGTGTGGAATGACGTCCAAATGACGTCCTATATATAGGAGTGAGGCGCAGTACGGCCTCTGACATCAATACGGCCCGTACTGAAGATTTGAACTACAGTACGGCCGTATTGAATTCAGTACGGCCGTACTGAAGTTCAAAAACTTCAGTACGACCGTATTGGTTTCAGTACGGCCGTATTGTAGTTCAAAATGATCAGTACGGCCGTACTGAACTTCTAGGAGGCCGTATTGAGCTCCAATCCTCCCACATCCTTATTCTAAGCTATTCTAAGACCTCTAGACCTACAAAGAGTCACCCTAGGGTCTTCCAGGAGTCCTTCTGGCTGACTTTCCTTCAGTCTTTGAGAGTCTCTGAGCTTTATTTCCGACCCGGACAATTTTAGGGGTCTACATTTGGTAGCTTAGTTAGTATAACAAGTGAATTTGTAAAGTGTTGTGCAAGTCACTTGGGAGATGATACAAATATTTTAATTGAACTACTTATACGATTGGGTACACTTGCCAAGGGAGATAACAAGTTTCTGGCGTCGTTGCCATGGACTTGCATCTCAATACTTAGGCAAAATCACTTAGATTACTAATCTAGGCTTTGATTCATTTATTCTTTTACATTTTGCAATTATTATATTCCTTTTCTTTTAACTCATTGTATCTGTGTTGCTGACTGTTTGTTGTAGCTTTGTGATTCTAGTTTATATGAGGTACTGTTCTCGCTAGTGATTTAGCTTATGATCCAGAAATTGAGAAAACACCTAGGAGGAACAAGGGAGCAGTAAGGAAACAAAGGTTACTAGCCAAGCAAGCACAACACAGAGAGGCTACTTCGTCCTCTCTCAATCCTTCTTTATCTGAAATCTTAGAGGAAGCAGAAATGACAGAGGAAAACCAAGAATTACTCTTGGTGATCATGCAGCTGCTACTGGTACTACTCATTTTTCCAACATTGCCACTCCTACAATCACTGCACTAATTTTGAGATGAAGCCAACATTGTTGAATCTGATTCAATATAATCAATTTGCGGGCCTTGATCATGAGGATCCATATCTGCATCTTCATACTTTTATTGTGCTTTGTGGCACCGTGAAGATACATCAAGTTCTTGAAGATGTGATTCAGATGAAGCTATTTCCTTTCTCACTACTTGGGAAAGCTAAAATGTGGCTCAACGCTCTACCACATCAAAGCTTAACCAAGTGGTCTGATATAGAGACAAAGTTCTTGGCAAGATTCTTCCCTCTTGCTAAGATTAATCAAGAAAAAAGTGAGATCGTCATATTCTCTCAAAAGCAAGATGAACTTCTTTCTGAGGCTTGGGAGAGATACAAATACTCGTTGAGGAGATGTCAAAGTCATAAATTTGATGACCTTACTCAGGTTAACATTTTTCTAGGTAGATTGCTGCCACGGGTGAAAATTCTATTGGATGCCTCACTAGAGGTAGCATGCATTTTAAAACACCGGAGGAGGCTATAGAGTTGATTGATGCTATGGCAGCAAATGATTATGATTTACCAGTTGAAAGGGAGTCAAGACAGAAAAGAGGAATTCTAGAGTTGGGATCTCAAGATGCTTTATTAGCTCAAAATAAGCTCTTGTGCCAGCAAATTGAGGCCCTTACCAAGCAGCTTGCTCGAATTCCACAACAACTACAATCCACTCAACATCAAGTTCATAGTTGGGATCTTTGTGGGTTGAATCATCCTCATAGGCAGTGCCTTGATACTTCCCATCTCATGGAGAAGAGGTGAATTACATGGGGAATCAAGCTCGACAAGGAGGAAATTATGGTGGTAATTATGGGAAGAATTGGCAATCACACCCTAGCACAAGGTGGAACCAAAATGATATTGCTCAGTATTGTATACCTCCTATGCAAAGGCCCAACTTGTATGACAAGCAATCCAGATTAGAACAAAACATTGAACCAGTTAATGCAGGTCTCAATCTCTAACCACAAGAGTACTGAAGCATCTATAAAGAATTTGGAGATTCAAATGGGGCAGTTGGCCAAACAATTGGCTGAAAATTCTGGTGGCAAAATTTCAGCTAATACTCATACTAATCCAAAGGAGAATTCTAGTGCAATTACAACAAGAGGTGGTAAGAGAGTCGGTGTGTTGGAGGGTGAAGAAGAGCAACAGGAAAAAAAGGCAGAAATGAGAGAGGGAGATGGAGAAAATAATGAAAAAAAATAAAAAAATTAGAAAATGTAAAAGAGAATGTCATAGATGGAGAAGAGTTGGCTGAGGAAGTTGTTATTAAAAAATCAAAGAGCCAACTAACAAGAGAATTGAAGATGAAATCCAAGGTGTCTAGTACCAAGGATATGCCATATCCCCAAGCCCCAAGCAAAAAAGATAAAGAGAAGCAATTTGCACGCTTCATGGAGCTTTTTAAGAAGCTTCAAATCAACATTCCATTCTCAGAGGCATTGGAGCAAATGCCCACTTATGCGAAATTCATGAAAGACCTCTTGACAAAGAAGAGAAAGTTCATTGAGCAAGAGATCATTGAGTTGGAAGCGAGGTGCAATGCCATAATTCAAAAGAACTTACCTCCCAAGTTCATGGACCCTGGAAGCTTTACAATCCCAATCACTATTAGGGACCTATCAGTTGGAAGAGCACTGTCGGACTTAGGTGCAATCATTAACCTCATGCCTTTGTCTATGTTAGATAGAGTTAGACAGGTGGTAGTAAAACCAACACGCATGACTTTGCAGCTAGTTGACCGGTCTATCAAGTACCCCTATGGTGTGATTGAGAACATGCTAGTTAAAGTTGACAAATTCACATTTCTAGTTGATTTTGTGATTTTGGACATGGAAGAGAACTCTACTGTTCCTATTATCTTGAGAGGCCATTTATGAAGACTGCACGAGCAATCATTGATGTTGGGGATGGTGAATTAAACTTAAGGGTCCAAGATAAGGTGACCACTTTCAATTTATTTAAAGCCACGACCCATCTGAATGATAAGGGTGTTTGTTTCCGAATGGATGTTCTGGATGAAGTAGTGTGTGAGGCTACAAAGAAGCTATCAGTTCCAAATGATGTAATTTGCTTGAAGCTGCCTCCATTCTCACTGCTTGGGAAAGCTAAATTGTGGCTCAATGCTTATGAGTCAGCTAAGCACTACAAGGAAAGGGTGAAGTTGTATCATGACCGAAAGATACTAAAGTGAGAGTTTCATCCTGGACAACTTGTGCTCCTTTACAACTCCTGGTTGAGACTTTTTCCAAGGAAGCTGAAGTCAAAGTGGTTAGGGCCATTTAGAGTTAAGCAAGTTAAGCCTCATGGAGCAATACAAGTGGAGGATCTTGCCCCCAAAGAGAGCTGGGTGGTAAATGGCCAAAGACTCAAACTTTACCTAGGCGGTGAAATTGAGCGAGCTTATTTCGCCGTTGCATTAGACAACCCTTGAAGTCTTGGCTTGTCAAGCTAGTGACATAAAAAGAGCGCTTTATGGGAGGCAACACATCATTCTTAATCCAAAAACAAGTTAGCATGCCTTTAATTTCAGTTAATTTGTGTTAGTGTGTTTTAGGTGTAGGTACATGGTTAATCATTGTGTTTGCTTCTTAGTTGAGAAAGCATTGTGATTGTGATGGCTTGACGAACTTCATCTTGAGGTATACTTGAACATTTTGAAAATTTACAGTAAAATTGAAATCCACGCTCAACATGAAGTTCCACGCTAAGCTATATCAATGCAGAGGCAGAAGAATAACTCTCTGGAGGTGCCACGCTAAGCCTCAGTCTCAAGCTGAGCCTCAAATTTGAAATTGAAAACTAGGAGTTCTCTCTAGAACTCCCACGCTTAGCTTAGAAACCACACTTGGCGTGGACGTGGCAGCAAAATGGGGCACCTGGAGCTCCCACGCTATGCCCTAGAACCCACGCTTAGCCTGGGAGTCACTTTTTCAATAAATGTTCTCACTCTCTCTCCAGAAGCCCATTCTTTTCTTCTACCCCTATTTTAACCTTTCACAAACTCTCTCAAAACCCTAGGTTACTTTCTTTTCATTCCTTGGCCATCTTGCTCTTGCTGTGGGCAGGCTCCATTTTCTCTCTTTTTGATCATCAAAGGCGCGAAGGTAAGTCCCTTTCTTTAACCTTGTGTGGTTCCTTCCATTGTATGTTTCTTGGTTCCCATTTTTATTTTTCCCCACTCATCTAATCCCCCTACCCATTTTTCATGCAAACCCTTGTATCCACGGTGTTCTTGAGCTTATTTTCATGGTTGATGTTCATTGATGATATTTGCACATTTGTGATGGTATATTTTTGAATGGGTCTTCTTAAAACCCTTGGAAACCTTGCTTTTGTGAATGCCCAGTACAAGATCTAAGTTTTTTGTGTGTTTTTGCTTGTGAAAGACATGTTTTTGGGCCAAAAAGGGGAGCCAAGTGCTGCAACCACGACGTTGAGCAATGGCCTGACGCTCAACTTTCAGCGTGGCTATGGCAGCCCCGTCTCTTTTTCCTACACGTTTCATGCTAGGCATGATAGTGGTGCTGAGCGTCCCCTTGGCAGCCACATTTGGCCTTTGTTTGTCATACTCATTGTGCTTTACTGGGTGAATTTGACAAACCTTCTTTGTTTACATTTTAAATTGAGTTGGCTGCTATGTTAATTTTGCTCCAATGTGGTTCATATTTCTATAATTTTTCTTGTTTAAACCCTCAACTACAACTTATTCTACTCATGTAGCATAGCCAGGGAACCATGATCAACAATAGGGGGAAGGTGATGCAGCTGGGATGAAGAAAATTCAGACGAGGATCAAGAGAATGCGGAGGAAGACTAAGTTATTTCACATTGGAAAACTGTGTTTAGTTATTTAGTTCTGTTATTTTGCTCTATTATTTTGTTTTGATTATCTTATTGTGTACTGCTTTATTAACCTTTTACCTTTTGTTGTGTACTTTGAGTAGTATGGATGTTAATTAGTAGTAAACTTTGCATGTGTACATATCTTAATGCTTCTGAATGTGCGGTTTTAATGCTTTTTGAAAACTGGAAAATCAAAAATCAGGTGTGCATGTACCCCTTAGTGAACAAGGGTATTTTAAGGCACAAGATCAAATATGTTTGTGGTTGCACTCTAGAGACGATTAGTGATAGTGTGTGATAGTTACTTTTGTGGTTAATGACTGTGGCATGATAATTTGAAAAAACTTTGAACACCTTTATTAACCCATGTGAGTTTTGGCCCCCCTTGTTGTATGAGCGTTACCATTTGATTTCATGCAGTTGATTTTGCTTGAGTCTCTTTTGAGTTTACATAGCATATGTTATTTAGAGATGATCAAGGAAATTTTTCTTGTAAATTTGAGCCACTTGACCAAAAAGCCAACCTAACAGAAAAGTGAATCCATTGCACCCTACTTTGAGCCAAACAATGAATTCATTGAAAACCTTGAAGCCCTTAAGAAAAAAAAATTCTCCCACACCTTAGGAATAAGAGAGAATTTTCATTAGTATCATTGCCATGCTTTTTAATCCCTTTGGGAATTGTTGCAATACACTTTTGTTATTAAACTGTGTGGGCACCACATTAATTGGCTGATCAAGTGTCAACATTTTCTAGTGTTCAACTCTTGGAAGACATGTATGGTTGTTTTGTGTGATTACCAATGTTCAAATCTTGTTTAATTAGGAGATTAGGTTTTGTGTTGACTTAGTTGCTTCATTTTTCTTTGCTTGAGGACAAGCAAGATCTTAAGTTTGGGGTATTGATAAGTGCTATGATTTTATTAAGTTTTTGGCCAAATTTGAAGCACTTATATCAATTTTCCTTGCTTTAGACCTTGTTTTTAACTCAAAACATATATAAATTGTTAGGTGATCACATTTTGTCTTTGAATCATGTTTTTTGGTAACTTACAAGTACTTGGTTGTTGTTTTGTAGTTTAGGAGAAAGCTAGGAAAGAAGGAAGGAAGTCAAGCACAAAGTGGTGAATTCAAAGTTGAAGGAATTTTTGGTTTAAGTCCCTAAGCTAAGCCTCAAATCCACACTTAGTCTCAGCTTGGCAGAGAATCACTAGAACAAAAATTTAACCCTCAAGCTGAGCATGGAATTGGGGCTGAGCCTGGGAGTCCCAGAACCTCATTTCACTCCAGACCCATCCTCAAGCTTAGTGTGGCATCTCACGCTTAACGTGGATTGTGCTGACATGTCATTATTTACATAAGACAAAAGATTTTATGACCTAAAAGTGGGATTTTCGAGGAGAGAAGTAAGGAGAATCATTCTTGGAGTTTGTGTTGCGGTTGGAGAGCTCTAGAACCTTCAAGATAAAGCTTCTTCCTTTCTTCATAATTGTTTAAGTTCTACATGTCTATGTGTAGCTAAATTAACCCTTGTTGGGGTTTGATGTAACTAAACACATTCTCATGTGTAAGCTCTAAGTGATCAATGTTAGTTGTTATTCAGTTTTATTGCTTTGTTTCTGTGCATAATGTTTGTTATGGCTTGATCACCTTTAACTTAGACTTGAGGCTTTTAAGAGATTGAGAAATGATTTTAAACCTTTGAAATGAAATAGAGCAGCTAATGGTGCTTATTGCTATAGATAGATTAAATACCATTAGTCTTTCTTAAGCTATGGTTTTTAAAGTTGGTTTGTTGGTTAAACTATGCAAGAGATTGATATTTTAAGTTAGCAACATAGATGCCAACTTGTAAGAGATTAGGGTTGGTTATTTTTTAGAGTGATTGATAAATTCTAAATGATAACTATTATGACCTTAGTGATAAACATGACAGAAAGGTTTAGTGAAGTCAAACCCCAACATTTATTAGTATTGCTTTAGAATCAAGTTTTGCACTCTAAGTGTTTACAAAATACCAAAAAGAATTGTTATTGCTTGTTTACATTATTTTTTGTAGTACCCTACGGCATGCTTGGTGGGCTTTGGAAAAACATAATGCCCAGCCCAGTTGATGGGGTATAGTTCACAAAGCATGTTGATCGTCTTGTCAATGATGTATGGTCGTGGCTTTGGACACAGACCAACTTTATTCTTCTTTATCACATCCTTGTTGGTGGTGAGTTGGATTTCCTGAAGCAGTTCAGTCTTTCCTTCTAGGTTAGTGACACTAGGAAAGACGATGGAGTTTAGATCAGTTTCTGGGTTGTAGACCCCTAAAATTGTCCGGGTCAGAAATAAGACTCAAAGACTCTCGAAGACCGAAGGAAAGTCAGCCGGAAGGACTCCTGGAAGACCCTAGGATGATTCTTTGTAGGTCTAGAAGTCTTAGAGTAGCTTAGAATAAGGGTGTGTGAGGATTGGAGCTCAATACGCCCTCTTAGAGGTTCGTAACGGCCGTACTGAGCCATTTGAACTACAATACGGCCATAATGAAATCAATACGGCCGTACTGAAGTTTTTGAACTTCAGTACGGCCGTACCAAATTCAATACGGCCGTACTGTAGTTCAAAAACTCAGTACGGGCCGTATTGACCCCTTAGGCCGTACTGCGCCTCAATCCTATAAATAGGACGTCATTGGCTCGTCCTTCCACACATTTGGAGCATTTCTCCACCCTCTGGCTGAGTATTCTTGGGTTTTTGAGCTATTCTCTGCCCTAGAAATCTCTCCGAGAGCTGATCCGACTAAGTTCTTGAGTTCATGAGCCTTTAGCTTGAGACTCGAACAAGTCGAAGGGAAATCTCTTTGATTTCCATAGTTAATATTTATTTTTAGGGAAAGGAGCGAGCGAACGTGTAGTGGGAAGGAGCGCCAAAAAGCCTCCTAACTCCTTTTTGAATATATAAAAGCCCGCTTCGAAGGTTTCTTTCCAAATCCTTTCTTTTACCGCTTTCATTTATCGCTTTTTGATTGTTGCATTGCACGTTTAAA